GGTCTCCCCTAAAGAGCCAGAACCACCCTGATAGCAGGGCTATAATGTATGAAGAAACTACATATAGCAAAAAAAAGATCATTGATTTTCTTTCTGCACTTGAAGGATTCAAAGTAATGTGTAAAATTATAGGAATTATGGAAGAAGTTGTTGATGATTTTAAGTCCAAAATCCTTAAGCAGGTTGTTAGTCTACAGACAAAAAATCCTGAAGGCTGCTTCCCTGATTTGACTTCAGAACTGAATCGATGGGATACAGCCTTTGACCATGAAAAAGCTCGAAAGACTGGACTGATTACTCCCAAAGCAGGATTTGACTCTGATTATGACCAAGCGCTTGCTGACATAAGAGAAAATGAGCAGAGCCTCTTAGAATACTTAGAGAAACAGCGCAATCGAATAGGCTGTAGGACCATAGTATATTGGGGGATTGGTAGGAATCGTTACCAGTTGGAAATTCCAGAGAATTTTACCACCCATAATTTGCCAGAAGAATATGAGCTGAAATCTACCAAGAAGGGCTGTAAACGATACTGGACCAAAACTATTGAGAAGAAGTTGGCTAACCTGATAAATGCTGAAGAACGCAGAGATATATCATTGAAGGACTGCATGCGGCGACTGTTCTATAATTTTGATAAAAATTACAAGGACTGGCAGTCTGCTGTAGAGTGCATTGCAGTGTTGGGTAAGACTTTGAACAAGTTTGTTGCTCAGACTTGGTTAGTAATGCTGTGTCCTAGTTGTGTATCCCAAAGTCTAATTAACAAGGTATATATATTGACATGTATTTTTGCCTCACTAGGCAACATGACAAGGTTGCCCACAGTGATTTAACTCAAAGCTTCCCTTTTTCTCTTTAACCAATTATCTTGCTTTCTTTACTGCATTTTTGTGAGTTCCGGGGATGACCAGAGCCTTATATATGCATTCTACCCTGATTTTAAAAAGCCCTGCTTTGGGTGGGCGTGGTGGTACCTGCTTGCTGTAATCCCATGTGACTCTGTGAAGCTGAGGCAGGATGATTTCAAGTTCAAGACCAGCCTCAGCAATTTAGTGGAACCCTGTCTCAAAATAAATTAATTAGAAGGGTTCAGGATGGTAAAGGACCCCTGGGTTCAATCCCCAGTACAAAAAAACAAAAAGCCCTGATTTGTGTACTTATAATTTGATAATCTTTAAAAATGTCATGACCAATGAATGTGTCTAGAGATTTTTTTTGTTTTCTAAAAAATTTGCTTAAAAGCAGCAACCATAGTTTTCCCAGATTGTGTGTGTGTTATGTACGTATGTATGTATGTATGGGGTGGGGGTGGGGTGGAAAGCTCTATCCCAGGACCTTAAGCATGCACTCTGCTACTGAACTACAACCCCTGCCCAACCCATGCCCAAATTTATCACACAAAACTGTTTTATCCAATGGTATAGAATAAGTAGCATCCTTCTGTTGTTGTATGCTGCACTTGGTAATCAGGTAATTTAAAAATCGTTAGTACAGGTGTTTAAAATTGGTCAATTGATCTAGCTACCAAGATTGAATATCTAATACACCAACTCTCAGAACATTGTGCTTCCCCCAAAAATGTTAGCCCCAGGATTACATTGCCTCTTCACAGTCTTCTGGTATAGATGTTAGAGCTTAACTCTCTTGAAGGGAAAAATTCTTAGGCCTAAATCCAAGTTATTTCTAATTCATTAAAGTGTTATAAAACATTACCATTTCCACTCAGTGAAATGCATTTCTGATGACTTTTCAAAGAAGCTGGGTTTGTGCTATCCAGTGGGGGTCTGAGTTTACCTGTCAAGATCCTCACTCCCCCCAAATGAAGTCTCACTTTTATTTCTTTGACAGATGTCTTAATATGTCTGGCTAACTATAGTCAAGGTGGTGATGGTCCTATGTGTCGCCCAGTGATTCTGTTACCAGGAGAAGACACTCTCCCTTTCTTAGAGCTTAAAGGTTCACGACATCCCTGCATTACGAAGACTTTTTTTGGAGATGATTTTATTCCTAATGACATTCTAATAGGCTGTGAGGAAGAAGAGAAAGAAAATGGCAAAGCTTATTGTGTGCTTGTTACTGGACCGAATATGGGGGGCAAGTCTACACTCATAAGACAGGTAACTTATTCTTATATATCAGAAAGCGCCTGGGGTTGTAGCTCAGTTGTAGTGTGTTTTACAAGCAAGTGTAAGACCTTGGGTTCAACCCTAAGCACCAAATAAGTACAGAGGTAGGTTTTAGGTCATGAGGCTCTTTGACTTGGTTGAATAGGATTATGAACGCTTGAAATACTGCAGGTTTTATTCCTCTATTTGTTCTTGGTGCTGGCAGTTGAACCCAAGGTCTTGTACACACTTAAGTGCATGCATTGCCAGTGCCCACCTTTTGGTAGGAATCCTTGTAAAAGACCCATAGGGATCTGAAAAATTCTGCCAACTGACTACTGGGAACTGCTTTTTAGGGAAGGCATGATGGCCTTTTTGATTCTCTAGATGTCAGGGGTTGGCCAGAGACCAAGCATTGTTTTCACATTTTAAAAGGTTGTAAATGAAAAATAGTTTGTTAAGCCTCTGAGAGTCAGCAGTATGTATAGTGGTTTTCAGCTTTTTGAAAAAGTCCTGAAAACCCCCCAAAATGGCTACAGAAAATAATAGGGGTTGCATTTCCCTGAACCAATCCTGATCCAGGATTGGTTCAGCATCAGTAGTCTTGAGGAGCTCCTAGAAGGTTGGGATTCACTAGTGTAGTGGGATTAGTATATAGGCCAGAGGTCCTCAGAATGTTGACACTCTCTAATCCTCGCTTATCATAAATAGAGGTATTATAAGATTGTGAAGATTTTTTTTTTTTAATAGGGCTAGACTCAGATTCTTAATAAAGGTAATGTATAGGTTCTTGTTAATATCAATTTTTGAAACTTCAACACCTTTTCCTTCCATGTTCACAGGCTGGCCTGTTAGCTGTAATGGCCCAGATGGGTTGTTATGTACCTGCTGAAGTGTGTAGGCTCACACCAGTTGACAGAGTGTTTACTAGACTTGGTGCCTCAGATAGAATAATGTCAGGTGAGTTGGTTCCCACAAGCTTTGACAGTTCACTTGGAGGTGGTAAAAGAAAATTTTTTTTTCTTTTTTGTGTTATACAAAGCAGATTGCTTCAGACATTAACATTACTTAGGTTTTAAGGATTTCATAGTTTCTTAGGATGAATCTTTTAAATCATTAAATAGCTTGTGGTAGGTTTGGATATGCCATACTGCTATTAATAAGATTCTTAAAATAATTATCCCTTTGTGATACAATTCTTTTTTCTAGGTGAAAGTACATTTTTTGTTGAATTAAGTGAAACTGCCAGCATACTTACACATGCAACAGCACATTCCCTTGTGCTTATGGATGAATTAGGTAAGATGTAAAACCTACTTCTCTAGATTATATGAAGGACATCCCTTATATTGTAAGAGATTTTTGATCCCCTGTTAATAAAGGCTTTAGATTTCTCAGCTTTATTAAAATGAGAATACTTTTATTTCACTAATAGGAAGTACTCTTTAAATTCTATTCCCCAAGGGCTGAGAAGCAGACCTATTGTACTTACTTGGCCTCTCCCCTGTAGTATTCCTTTGTAATTAAAAAGGCAGTTTATAACATGTAGTTTATATCTTCACTTTCACAGGAAGAGGTACTGCAACATTTGATGGGACAGCAATAGCAAATGCAGTTGTTAAAGAACTTGCTGAGACCATAAAGTGTCGTACATTGTTTTCTACCCACTATCATTCATTGGTAGAAGAATATTCTAAAAATGTTGCTGTGCGCCTAGGACATATGGTATGTGCAAACTGTTTATTCAAAAATTATTCACTTTTTTGAGGATATCAACTGACATTTCAATTGCTAACACATAACATAGCTGATAAAATATTTTTCTTTAAGGCATGCATGGTAGAAAATGAGTGTGAAGACCCAAGCCAGGAGACTATTACCTTCCTCTATAAATTCATTAAGGGAGCTTGTCCTAAGAGCTATGGCTTTAATGCAGCAAGGCTTGCTAATCTTCCAGAGGAAGTCATTCAAAAGGGACATAGAAAAGCAAGAGAATTTGAGAAGATGAATCAGTCACTACGACTATTTCGGTAATTATATTTAGATCCACAACTGGCCTTAAATTTTCTTAGAGGGAGGGATGATGCACTGTGACAAAGTAATAAAAAAAAAAAACAATCTCTTGTTTTTATTTTAAGGGAAGTTTGCCTGGCTAGTGAAAGGTCGACTCTAGATGCTGAAGCTGTCCATAAGTTGCTGAGTTTGATTAAAGAGTTATAGACTACATTGGAAGCTTTGACTTGACAAAGGTGGTAAATTCAGACAACATTATGATCTAATAAACTTTATTTTTTAAAAATGACCATTTTTCCATTTTCTTTCTAGGAAATTAAACCCTTTTAATTCTTACCTACCTTCTACATAATGGTTATTGAATACTCCACAATATATTAAGTCTAGATGTTATGGTACATGCATACACTTTCAGGCTGTTTATACCCACTGTCACCAATACACATAAATGGGGGAGGGGGAGCTATGAAACTGTATAGGGCTGTGTGTATATATATATATATATATATATATATATATATATATA